TTTTGTTATTGTTGTTATTGTTGTTGTGTGCTTTCAAGTTGTTTCCAACTTATGGCGACCCTAAGGGGTTTTCTTGGCAAGGTTATTTATTAAATTTATTTCATTTTTATGCCACCTTTCTTCCAGAGTGGGTCACAAGATAAAACATGTTTTAAAAACTTTACAATAGGAATTTTAAAACAATTATAATCATTAATTATAAAATTAACATAAACACATATAAAAGGTAAAACAATAACTAAAATCCCCCCCCCCCCCCGCCCATATAAAAACCACCTTGTCATGATTATGTATTAAAAAGCCTGCCTAAATAAAATATGTTTTGGCTTTCCAGCAAAAGGACAGAAGGGAGGGGGCAACCCAGATTTGTTCCCAGGAGGTTTGCCATTGCCTTCCTCTGAGGCTGAGAGAGTGTGACTTGCCCAAGGTCACCCAGTGTGTTTCATAACCCAGCAAAGAATCCAACCCCGGTCCCCACAATCACAGTCCAACACTCAAATTACTATGCCATGCTGGTTCTCTATGTTTATTTATTACAAAAAGGAATTAATGAAGAGTAAGAAAAGCTTGTGAAATTCATGGAGTCGCTATAAGTCGACAGGCAACTTGAAGGCACACATACACACACTCCCTATTATTTTTAACCAGTTCCTTCCAAACTCTGGGAGGGAAGAGAAACAGATCTAGGAGAGTATTAAGAGATTCTCCCGACAGAGAGTAAATCAAGGCCAGGGATTATCTGAGATCAGTATTCAGACACTGCTTGCTTGCTCTCTAATGTGGGAAAGAAATTCTATCTCTTGTAAAACAAATACACACACACACACACACACACACACTAAGGCACAGTAAATGTTTTGTTCCCTCTTCCCTGAACTGGAGAGAGTTCACTGAAGAAGAAAGGAGAGCTAAAATCACTTTGGAAAAAATTGATTGCTCATATTTGGGAAAGGTGGCATGCCAGCAACCTTCTTTCTCAAAAGATGGGCAATTATTGCTACATCAGCATGGATTTCAGAACATCGGGTGTAAGAAGAGCGGCCAGGATTTTAGGGTGGGTGTTGGGTGTCACCATTAACAGCTGGGGTCCATCAGGACTTGTGGGCATGGTGATGCGGCAGAAGGCAGGACAAGGTCACTCTGGTTTGTCCCTTCACCTTCTCTTCTTCTGTTGACACTACACAACAACCCATAGAATCATAGAATCATAGAGTTGGAAGAGACCACAAGGGCCATCCAGTCCAACCCCCTGCCATGCAGGAATTCCCAATCAAAGCATCCCCGACAGATGGCCATCCAGCCTCTGCTTAAAGACCTCCAAGGAAGGAGACTCCACTACTCTCCGAGGGAGTGTGTTCCACTCTCGAACCGCCCTTACTGTCAGGAAGTTCCTCCTAATGTTGAGGTGGAATCTCTTTTCTTGCAGCTTGCATCCATTGTTTCGGGTCCTAGTCTCTGGAGCAGCAGCAAACAAGCTTGTTCCCTCTTCGATATGACATCCCTTCAAATATTTAAACACGGCTGTCATATCACCTCTCAGCCTTCTCTTCTCCAGGCTAAACATCCCCAGCTCCCTAAGTCTCTCCTTACAGGGCACAGTTTCCAGGCCCTTCATTATTTTAGTCGCCCTCCTCTAGACACGCTCCAGTTTCTCAACATCCTTTTTGAATTGTGGTGCCCAGAACTGGACACAGTATTCCAGGTGAGGTCTGACCAATGCAGAATACAGTGGCACTATTACTTCCCTTGATCTAGATACTATATTTCTATTAATGCAGCCTAAAATTGCATTGGCCTTTTTAGCTGCTGCATCACACTGCTGACTCATGTTCAACTTGTGGTCTACTAGGACTCCTAGATCCCTTTCACCTGTAGTTGTGTTAAGCCAGGTGTCTCTCATCCTATATCTATACAATCTGATCCCATTTTGTCATGGACTCATTCTACAGAATACTGGCAGGGACAGTTCTGCTTAATCCTCAGCCATTCCACTTTTCAGCTGCTTTTGCAATCTCCCAGTTTCTTTCTCCTCTTCCTCCTCTCCCCTCTTTTTCTCAGATTATGGCCAAGTGAATTCAAAGTAAGCAAGATATTAGCCAGATTCCACTACATCATCAGCCTAATCATGAAGAATGGCTAGACTGTACCTTTTCGGATTGGTGGCCCATTTCAATTGTTACATTCCTATCACAGGAGTAATTCCATCAAGTCCCTGTTATACCAATAAACTCATATTCACCTTTCTGCACTAGGATTTCAAGCTCATTTTGTTTGTTTCCCAAACTCTGTGCACTGGTGTTTGTTGTTGTTAATGGCCTTCAAGTCGACTTTGGGGCTATGCAGACCGGCACCAAACGCCGACTTTGGGTTGGAGTGGGGGCGTGGTGACCGCACGACACACGCCCTGACACCAGCATCACACCGACTGGCTGACCGCATGGTGGTCAGTGTTTCTGCGGTGAAGCATTTAGATGCACTGTGTTGTAAAAACTAAAAAAATAATAAAAATAAAATGCCGCCATCATAGCAAAGGCACCTTTTTGCCACTTTAAAAAGGAGTGGCATTTTGCTGCCCTTTTTTTGGGCTGGTAAAGTGCCAGATTGGGGCTGCGGCGTGTGGTTGCGTGGCCCCAATCCAGCACTTCCAGGGACGGCGCAGAGCCACCCCTTTCGGGTGGTCTCCCTTTGACTCTATGGTATTTTCACCTTCTTCTCCACCACCACAGGTCAAACAAGTTTATTTTCTTTCCTGTCAGCTTTCTTCACTGTCCAGCTCTTGTATCCATACACAATGATGGGAAATATGGTTTCGACAATCCTTACTTTAGTGTTCAGTGTTATAGATTTGCTTTTCATGATCTTGCCTATTTCTTTCATAGGTGGCCTTCTGATTTCTTGACCTTCCATAATTTCCATTCTGATCAATAACTGATCTAAGCTATGGGAAATCTTTAACTATTTCAATGTCATCATCTTCTAGATTAAATTTATGTAAGTCTGCTGTGGTCATTATTTTTGTCTTCTTTATGTTCAACATTAAGCCTGTCTTCTCACTTTCTTCTTTGACTTTCTTTAGTAATTGTTCCAAGTCTTCATCGTTTTCTGCTAGTAGTATGGTGTCATCAGCATATCTTAGATTGTTGGTATTTCTTCCTTCACTCCTCCTTCCTCTGAGTCTAAGCCTGTATTGATATTCTCTACAAGTTGTTGTACAAACAGGGTGATATGATGCAACCTTATTTGACCCCTTTCCAATTGGGAACTATGGTATTCTGTTTCCCTGTATTCTGTTCTAATGGTATCTTGTCCCCTATGTACACAATATACATCAGGGCTATCAAATGTACACTCATTACTTTAAGAGCCAGCTGCAACTATTTGTAGTCTATGCCATCAAAGGTTTTGGTGTAGTCTATACAGCACATGTTGGTTTTTTTCTGGAATTTTCTGGTGTATTCCATTATCTGTATATATTTGCAATCTGGCCCTTAGTGCCTCTTCCTTTCCTGAACCCAGCTTGCATTTTCTTGCTCCATATATGGTAGGAGTCTTTGCTGCAGTATTCTGGGCATGACTTTGGTTGCATGGGAAATTAATGCAATAGTCCTATAGTTACTGAGATATTTTGTGTTTCCTTTTGTGTGGATGGGAGTGTATATGGTTTGTTTCCAACCTGTGACCCGTTGTTTGTGTCTTTTTGAAATAAAAAAAAAATGGGACACTTATGGACATAAATGCATTAGTTTTTCCATGCAGAAGTCCACTCTCAGTGTGCAGATTTCTATATGCAGGAGTCGGGATGGAACAAAGGCCTTTTGCTCTTGTATTTGAGGAGACGCCTTCACACATTTAAGGCAAAAAGGGAGCTGCAGAATCTTTTGCTTCCAGCAAAGTACAGAAGCTGATGATGTTCCATTAAACTACTTTTTAAAAAAAGATTGGAATTTTTGTTGTACGTAACATAGGTTGCTTTGACTTCTTACATGCAGACATACTAATTTCATTAATAGGGGGAGAGAAGGTGACCTGCTACCCATTAGTGCAACCCATTAGTCCACTGTCGATCATGATCTGGTTCTGGGGAACGCATGGAGAGGACAAATGCTGTCTGTTTTTAAATATGGCAAGATTGACTGAGAGCCTGATATTTTTCAAACTTATTTTTTAATACAAAAAAAATTCTAAAGGAAAGAAAACCCTCTACTCCCCTGGGTGATGTTAATTGACTTCATAAAGTGCTTAATGGTTCCTGTGCTCACACCTCATTTTAAAATCATCACATTCTCACATTCATCTCAATAAGATAACCAGCCTCCTTTACAAATTACCAATCAGCAGTTTTCTGGAAAAAATGCTATATAAATATAGCAGATGTTACATTTGACAACGCCTTCTTGGTCCTACGGCAGGAGCTAAAGATATTCGCCAACAATTCAAAGTGCTGTTACTGCAGTGCTAAAATTTCGTTTTCCCCTGAGTGCTTGGTTATACTATAGTCTTCATGCGTCCAGATATATTCAGCTAAAACTGGCTTTCTTTACAATGTGTGATAATATTTTATCCTGGGAGCATTCCTTCTTGAAGATAAGGGCAGAATTTGCATAAGAAAGGGCTGTTTGGGGGAAGATAAGCTTGGCTGAAAAACATTTGTTGCTTTATTAAAATCACAGAGAGCACCAAGCCACATGTTCAGCAAGACATACCTGCCAATATTTTCACAGATGAAAACCAGGATCTGAATATAGTCAAGATGGCAAATTTTATTAATGAAGAAGGAACACACAAACTAGAAGAGGCTGCAGCAGTTTGCCTTTGCCTGAGACTACAGGCAACAAGGGTAAGATTACACACTCTCCTCTCCCTCTTGCTGAATTTACTGAGTGCAAACTACTTTTCTCTTTGAACTCAGTTTGCTCCAATTGAAGTAAGCTGAGGATGAAGTGCAAAAGTGGGAGGAGGAAGAAATGGGGACATTGTAAAAGCTGGTAAAAGGGGTGAGAGCCTGTGTGGCATAGTGGTTTGAGTGTTGGACTACAAATCTGGAGACCAGGATTCGAATCCCAGCTTGGCCATGAAACCCATGAGAAGATCCTGGGCAAGTTGCACTCTCAGCCTCAAGGGATGGCAAGGGCAAAACTCCTCTGAACAAATCTTGTCAAGAAAACTACATGGCTGGTCCACCTTAGGGTTGCATAAGTCAAAAATGACTTGAAGGCACACAACACACATGCACACAAAAGGGGTAAAAACAGAGGGTCCATCAAGACTGTTGCTGCCGAATCGGAACATTTCTTAGAGGGTATGGAACAATAATTTTTTAATGATGTTTTTACAGACTGTAGGGATAGTTCAAACTTCATGAAAACTTTGAATGTCAAATGTTCAAATGTCATGTGTGAACTTTTCCCTCTGTTAGAAACAACCCACTCACACATATCAAAGAAAGCTGTTAAGCATAAGACTCAGCTTTCATCATCAAAGTTAGCCGTCCATCCATCCAACCATTCATCTATCCATCCATCCATTTGTTGCAGAAGAAATGACTGCATAGCCTTATCCCCTTTAACTCTAATGGAATATTGACATTCTGCCTCCAGCAAAAAGCTTGGAAAAGTTCTTTTTTGACTGCAACACCCAGAATCCCTAGGAGTTGTAGTCCAGTTTACAACACTAGAAAAATGAGATTCCTCTCCCTATGTACTGCTGCTAATTTTAGTCACATGTAATTTGCTTGTAAGATCTCGGCACCTAATAGATAATGGCAGAACATGGGAAAGGTTTTGGACAGTAGCTCAGTGAATCTCCCAACGAAAAAGGCCACTGGCAATGTTAGCTAAGCAAATCTGAGTGTTGAAGCTCTGAAAAGTACATTTTCCAAGCTCTGGATAATGGCATTAGCAACAACGTAACAGATGTGTATCACCAATTGCTTTTTATAAAAGGCACAAAGGCAGAACTAGCTTCTTTTCTTTCCTCAAAATAATTATTTTCCAAAATCAGTACCCCTCTGCTCTTGGCAGTACCTGGGAATTTTAAACGCTGCAGCCACACTGCAGAAATAATCCAAGTTGACACCATTTTGACTCCCAAGGCTCAGTGCTATGGAGCCCTGGGATTTGTAGTTTGTTGTGGCATTGGCACTCTCTGACAGAGAAGGCTAAGTTTTGCACAAAACTACAAATCTCCGAATTCCATAGCACTGATTGGCAGTAAAGTAGTGTCAACCTGGATTATTTCTATAGTGTGGATGGCTTTGTCCTTCCTGGTCCTTTGGACTTCTTTCTCCAGAACCTCCAGGCAAAAATGCTGATGAGGGTATAATGGGAGTTGTGGTCCAAAACATCTGGGGAAGGGGAATGAAAGCTCCTAAGCAGAGTCTTAGAGGATAATAGGTAGAAGAGAGAAAACAACAAGAGAGATCTTGGCTGTTCCTGCTTCTATAGCAATACCTCATCCATTTCACAATGCAGTTTTTCCATTTTAAACCCTAATGATTCCTGGCTCGGAAAATCCCTTGACTTTGCCAAACAGCACAAACATCACCAATCCTATAATGCAGCAGTTGTTTTTGGACCTTCGAGTTTCAGGGAAGCTTTTCGAGCTTTTCACATGAATGCATCTATGGAGATGTGCCCAGCAATCTGCAGGGAGGGTCCGTCTGTAACACTTCTTGCTTCTTATTTTTACCACCAACCCTCTTTCTGAGTATAAGTCTTGCACACTCTAGGAGCCATGCGCAAGGATGACATAATTTGGGAAAGTTACTTTTTTTTTTTGCATTGTTAGTCCCAGAATCTTCTGGCCAACATGGCCACTTGAGTCCAAAAAAGTAACTTTTCCAAGTGTTCGGTATGCACAAATCCTTATCTGAGTAAGGCTAGATCAGGGAAGCTAAAATCATTTTCGGCCGAGCTCACAATTATCCTGCTCATCATCATCATCATCATCATCATCATCATACATTTTATTTATAGCCCGCCTCTCCCTGTGGATCAAGGTGGGTTACAACAAGTAAGAATAACAATATGCAATATACAATTCAAGCCCACATTTCTAAATAATCCCCTACCCCAACCCCCTTCCCAATCATAAAAAGAAGCAAACTAAAAACAATAACAATATAAAATACCAATTAAAAGAGGAAAAAATAACAAATTAGCTAAAATTAGAGGTGATTAGAGGTAATTAGAGGCGAGACATCTTGGGGTATACGGGGGCTTATACATTCACAGGTCTTTAAGGTTGTTGTTTTTTTATATATTTAGAGTCTTTATTTGTACTGATACTGTGAAGAGTGTTTGGGAAAAGTTACCTTTTTGGACTACATATCCCAAGGCCATGATGACTGGGAAGTCTGGGAGGTTCTGGAAATAAAGTTGCTGAGCTCTGTTAAAAGCATTGCTAAGCAAGAGTGCTTGAAATCAGCAGCTTCCCTGACGCTAGTGTCATCCGGTGTAGGGGGTGGGGCTTGAGAGGTGAAAGGGGTGGGGCTTCCACAAGGAGGCGTGGTGCACCTACACTCATGCCCCCTGTTGCAGTCTCCATCCTTGCCACTTCCGCCTTCTGCTCAGAAGGTGGCGACAACGAGGCATTGGGGGCACGCATGCACGTGCTCAGCCTAGCTCCTTGAAATAGGCCTGTTCTGATGAGAATGGGACCGTGTCAGGGACAGGCAGGGGCAGGCGACTGGGTGTCACCCCCCTCTGGGATGTCACCCGGTGCAGTCCGCACCCCCTCACCCCCCAGTGATGCTACAGCTTGAAAGCCCTTTCAGTAAGACCCCAGTGCTCATGTCATTGGAAAGACCCACCACCACCAAAGCTTATATCCTACATCATGGTTGTGTAGTATAAGTTGCGTCCTCCTTATCTGAAATTCCAACATCCGAAATGCTCCAAAAACCAAAACATTTTCCCCAGAGATAGAGGGAGAAAGGCAGCAAAAGGCATATGGGAACAAGAAAGTGAGATCTGTGAAAGCAAGAAACTTAGAAGAATGACAAGGAAGAGGAAAAAGGGCCAAGTCAGATCACTCTGACCTCCAAGCACTGTGTATCTTGGTTATTTTAACAGCAATCAATTCTTTGAAGGACAGAGGAGGGAAAGGCAGGGCAGGACTGCTGCATATCCAGGCAAAACTGTATGACTTTGTCTGCCTAGTCTTGTCTAACCTTGCCGACATTTTAATGCCATTGTCAAGAAATCTTACAAAATGCTACTTATGTCTTTGCTAAGCTGATGTTGCTGATTTTTTAAAACACATAATACACCAGTAACAGCCATTAGATTTTGAGGCACCGACTTAACGCTGATGTAGGGGATTTATAATTTTGGCAGACGCTGGAGGCAACCGCTGACTCCCATGATGGTAGGATGCTGACTCCAATCTGACGCCAATCTAGGAACTATCCAACATGCTGAACCTGTTCTGGGGAGAGGTTTCAGCACCTTGGACAACTCCTTTAAAGGCAGGATTAAAACCTGGAGTGTATTCACTGCTCCACTGGCATGGGAGCTACCAAAGGCTACTGGCATATGCCCTGGTCCTTTACTTTAGAAGTCAAATTGACAATGGATTTTTAGCAAGGCGTATACAGTATGACCTCTGTATCCATGGGACTGGTACCTGAGGTTTCACATAAGACCAAAAAAAGTTATCTCTAGGCACTTTTTAGCTCCTCCAGCTCGACTCTATGGTATGCTTCCGGTGGAAGTTGACCACAGAGTTACACTGGAGGACCTAGAAATGCCTAGAAAGGTGTTCTCTGGAGGAATCTCTAGGTCCTCCAGCACAACTCTATGGTCAACTTCTGCTGGAAGTCATTCATTTCAATAGGGTTCACTATTATCCATGGTTTTGCATTTCTATGGTAAGTCTGGAAACATATCTCCCACAGATACAGGCGTCATAATGTATTATGCATTATGAAGCATAAACCAGGTATAGACTGCTTCTATATGATGCGAAGCATGTTAAAACACATCACTAAAAGTTGTGATTTTTCACTTATTCTTTAAAAGAAACTGGAAGTAGTAGTTTAAATCCTTCATCCCACATGACTTTCCCAACAAAAATTACCAAGGGGCTTTTTGAGTTGAGTGGGAAGCTGTTGCTGGTGCCATATATTTCAGAGAAAAGAACTACCAGAATCACCTCTAGTTTCCTTGCCTAGGAAAATCCTATGGAATTCATGGGGTCAGCTAAGTCGACAGGAGAGTTGAAGGCACATACACAAAGACAATATAGACTATAAATAGTCGATCCAAAGTTAGAATTTTTAATGACCTGAGCATAATGTCTTTCAATCCTCAGGGGGTTGGATAGCCCACCAGAAATATGCAGTTGAAAAGGCACCCTCCCACAGTATTAAAATCTCTTTAAAAAAAATCATATTAAAAGTGGAAATGTTATACCCTCAGTAGTCAAAAAAGTTTTTAAGGCTAGACTTTTAGCTCAGTTTCTGTATGGGATTCAAATGTGAGTGGACGCTTGTTTAAACTCACTGGTTCTTAGGCTGCGTCCGCATTGCAGAAATAATCCAGGTTGACACCACTTTAACTGTCATGGCTCAATGTTATGGAATTCTGGGAACTGTGGTTTATGGTGGCACCAGAGCTCTCTGACAGAGAAGGCTAAGTGTCTCACAAAACTACAAATCCCAGAAATCCACAGCGTTGAGCCAGGACAGTTAAAGTGGTGTCGACCTGTATTATTTCAGCAGTGCAGATGCAGCCTTAGATGTATTGTTTCCTGTCCCATGTCGCATCCTAAATGCTTCTTTGCAGTCAGCAGTGGGGCTTCTTTCTGTAGTCTGAGTGATAAGGTTAGAACATTTAATTCCTGGCCCAAACTCAATTCTACTTTCCTTGGCTTGCTCTAGTTCTTAATGATTCTCACAAGAGCAGCTGGGTAAAAGCAGTCACTAGAAATCTTTGTCATTTTGGGTTTTCTCCAAAACATTTATTGATTTTAGGATCTGGCAAAATAAAGAGATTTAATTGGACCTAGCTGCTATAAGAAAACTCTGCCCATTGTTTGACTGCTTGTCTTTTGGTTCACCAGCATGGTATTT